ACCTACTCCCCGCCTCCATTTACCCTAGAGATAGCCGGCTCCGTGGTGTTTGTACCTATCCCCAGCATTTATCTCTCCCTGCTGTTAGGATAATCTGTGCCTCCACTACAGTGTCCATGCTAGGGCAGGAATTAGAGGCAAAACCCATTACCATTCATTAGCTGAGTGGGCTGGGGCACAGCCCTTGGCCCCATGTCCTCAGCACACTGAGCATTATTAACAGCTGCCCAGCCCCTTCCCCATAGGACAGGTATGAGGCTCAGTGCTAGCAAGAAGGGTGAACAGTTCCCGCACGTTATAGAAGGGCATCCTCAGCAAGGGGTTACTAAGCCCCGTGTCCGGCTCACCAGGACCCACAGCACGCTTGGCCCCTGGAAGGGCCTCAAGCAGTGTTTCACACATGAGTAAATAAGTGGAAGTATGACCAAAGACAGAGCGGGCACAATGACAAGGGCAAGAGGTAGAGGGATTTGATGGCCAGCCATAGGGGTGCCCACCTGTAATCCCAGTGCTCTGGGAGGCCAAGGCAGGAGAACCCCAAATATAAGCCTAGCCTGGGCAACTTAGTAGCTTAGTGAGACCTGGTCTCAAAACGAAAAATTTTAAAAAGGCTGGAGTGTAGTTCCAAGTGCAAAGGCCTTTGGATCTCAGTATGCCCCCAAAAGGTACAGAAGAACTTAATTTACAAACTTATTCCATAAGCACCATCTCCATCTTACTTTTGCACCCAAAGAGTTCCAGGGTTCATGTGTTAAGAAGGGCAGTGCAGAGCAACCCCATCATGCTGCAGCTCGGGGCAGGATAGCTGCATGGGCAAGGAAGAGGTGCCATAGCCCCGAGCCGCATTTTGGTCTCTAGAGCCTGTGACACTGTGGAGCTTGCTGGGCCGCAGCTTTTGCCTGGCTTCCTGCTTCTCCACCCGGCTCTGTCGCTGCCCCAGCAGTGACTCAGGAGAAGAGGTTTGCAGGGACTGGCTTCACCGAGCCCCTCTCCTGGGACCAGAGCCTCTCCCAAGCCCCGGGGCGATGCCTTGGCCCCCCCCCTCCCCCCATGCTGATTGCTTTCGGTGGGCAGTTCTGTGTGTTACACACTTGTCCATCCTTGCAGCAGTGTGTATCCACCGGCATGTTTCTCAGCACTCCTGAGGTGAGCACAGCCAGGACTGAGAATCCCTGGCCCTGGAACACTGGAGCCTGAGCCCGGCCACTCAGGGAGCCAACAGCAGAGCTCCCACAGCAACCGGTGCCCTCGCATCCAGGTCAGGACATCTTCCGTGGGTCCAGCACCCCGAGGGGTGCCCCTTCTGCCTCTTTCTGCCCTGGTAAGCTGGCTGGGCTCCTCCTGCTCATGCCCTACTGTACCCACGGCTGGACAGACTGGGTCCTGAGACCCTGGGTTTGGCAGGCCACCCCTGCTGACCCATACCCAGCTCAGTGAAGACCACAGGCCCTTCCCTGCCTTATCTCAGACATGCAGTCAGCTGTGGCTGGAGCCTAATTATAGCCTGTGGCTTCCTGGGTAATCATGGGCCACCCAGGCCCCTCTCTCAGCTGTCACCTCAGCCTCCACTGCTGGAGTTTCATCCTTGGCCTGAGAAGTGTCCCCTCCACACAGTGGCCCTGAGCCCTTCCCTAGGGGCTCTCAGCCTCGTGTTCTCCCTGGTTGAGGTTGTGTCAGCACCTAGCCATTGTCCTTGTGCTATGAGCTGTGCATTTGTCCCCAGGCACAACTGTCCCCACAGACTACTAATTCTCAGCTCAAGGCTGGCCCTATAGGCGGAGCCACACGGGGCACCCTTCCCATTCTGTGGGGACATACAGCACCCTCAGAGAAGGGTCCCAGGGCCCTTCCCCACTCCAGGAAGTACCCAGGCTGCAGGTCCAGGCAGGGGGAAGCCAGTGAGGCCGAGAGCCTGCCTCCGTGTGCTGAGGGCGGAGGCCTGGGTCTCAGAGCCTCTCCGACCCCGCTACGGACCTGGTAGGCACATTGGACAAGTTGCCACTTTCTGCACCATGGCTGCTATATGTAAAATGTACATCCATGGCACAACAGAGATTCAGTTAACAAACGTTGGCTGCTCCCATGTCCCCTTCTTTCTCAGGCCTAGAGCCAGGGCCATCGACAGCAGTGCTGTGTACCATGCCAACACTGTGCAGGCTCCGTGGCAGGGCTGCATATCCTGGGCATCTGTATCTCAAGAGCCCCAGACTACAGGAGAGATAAACAGACTTCTGGAACCTCCTGCCCTTGCTCTGCTCCTGGCTGCTGCCTGGGACCCTGCGAGTTCTCTGCAATGGGGTGGCAGTGCCCACCATGCTGGGGCCAGATCTAGAGAAGGGGGTGAGCTTCCCGTCATTCTCCTTGTTCCACATACTTGGGACAATGAAGTGGACAGTCACCAAGTCTTCTGTCCAGTGTCCAGAAGGAGCACGTGGGTGCCTCTGCCCTCCCTAGCAGACGGCTGCCCTGGGGAAAGAAGCCAGAGAGGACTGCTGGGGGCGAAGGACAGGAGCCTCTCTGCTTCTGAGAATTCTCTACTTTGTCTCTGCTTTTCCTCCTTCACTGCCAGTTGGGAGTCTCTCAGGAGCCCTCATAGTGGCCACAGTGCTCCTCAGAGCCAAGGAAGAGAGGTCATCACCAATGGGGTGGCCTCAGAAAGAAAGGATACCCTGGGAGAAAGCGAGAGGATGTCAGCAGGCCTTGGGGGCAGGGCAAGTGGCCTCAATCAAGAGACTTTTGAGGCTGGGGACATGGATGGGGTGGGGGTGGCGGCCACTTCCACCCAGACATCAGGAGCAGAGAGAAGGTAGAGAATCAGGGAACTGAAATTAGACAGGGCAGAGAACTCCACTCCCAGAACAGGTGGGGGATTGGCCTACTGACGCCACCAAACAGTAGGGACCGAGGCAGAGGGCATGTGGCAGGTAGGCTGTAGGAAAGTGTCCAGAGTGACAGGAGTACTCAGAAACCCTACGACTCTCGGTGGCATTACTTGTGGTTTAATTGCATGCATTAAATGTGAGTCAATCCAGTATCTCTGTTACACTAAATGCAATTCTCAGCTAAACCCAGTGCCCAGCTGTGGGGTACAGAATTGCCCAGCACAGCTCCCCCACCCACACAGCCTCTTGGGGCCTCTCTGCTTCTGAGTATTCTCTGCTTCTCCAAACCTCAGCTGGCCCAGGTGCCAAGAGCAGAGTTAGAATAAAGACCGATGCTGTGGCTCTGCCAGTGGCCCACAAGGCCTGCCAGGCTGGGGGAGGTGGCTCGGGCATGGGCGTCTGCCTGTGCCTGTGTTGTCCTGGCCTGTGCTGGAGACCAAAGGGCAAGTCCTGCCTCTGGCTTCTCAGAACCAGGTTGTTGTCGTTGTTGTTGGCTGCCCACAGCCGGCCCAATAGTGGACGCTCTGTCTCTCTGCTGGCATGCCACGTGAGCCATGCAGGGTCACAACCCCCTGGCAGCTGGTGGCAGAGAACAGGCTGGGTGGTTTTTATTGGCTCTGGTGGCGCTGACTCCATCTGAGCTCTGGTTTCCAGGTTAGGTCATAAGAGAGGACTGACATTGTTCCATGCAGAAACACTCAAAGAAACTGAGGGACACACTTAGGGCAGGGAGCTTGGGGACAACAGGTCACATCAGCCAAAGCAAGGATCCGGATGCCACTAAACTGGATACTGGCAGCCTAGAGGGCTCTGGGCTCTGTTTCCTCTCAGCAGCTATGGGGATATCACTTCAGCCCTCTGGGCTTTAGTCACCTCCTCTGCAAGCGAACTGGACTAGCTCCTACCGAGCCTCTAAGCTCTAGGATTCCATTGCAAAGGGTTGACAGAGATGGAGAGGCCTCAGAGACACCTGGCCAACTTAGGTCAACTCGACCCTTGGAAATCCAGGTTTGCTCTGGTTCGTGAAGTCACTGTCTCTACATACGGTCCTCATGGGCCAGGACATGTGTGTGCTCCTCTATGCTGCCCCTGTCTGCTGTGCATCCCTGGGGTTGGGACACCGCTGAGAGGTGGTGCCCAGCGAGAAGGACAGGAGATCAGGGTTCCACAGGGAAGGTCGTTCTCTGTCCTAAGCCTCCCCTAGACCCCAGTCCAGTTCCAGGCCCATAGCAAGGGTGTCCAAGCACACAATGAGCCTTCCAAACAAGGTCCCCTGCTCTGTGCCCAAGCCTGGGTCTCTCTGCCTTTCTGGGGCCACGCAGCACTGCCTTTCCTGAGCTGTGATTTAAATAAAAATCCAGAAGGTAAAAGTGCCACAGCCCAGAGAAGAGGCCGCAGTGATCAGGGCAGTCTTCTCCAAGGAACTGAGCTTTCTCTTGGTCTTTGTTTTTGTTTTTAAATCCATTTTATTTCAAGTATAAAAAGAAAAAAGGAAAAAAAAAACACAATAAAATTTCAAAACTCATCAGTCAGGGGCAAATAATGTACATACATTGTGCATGGTCATCCCCAAATCATTCACCCAGAGCATAAGACATCTGCATTCAATTGTTGGAACATTAGCAGTACAAATCATTCTCTTCGGTGAACTCAGGGAAATCAATATCTCATGGTCCCTGGGACTGTCTGGTTCGTGTTCCTCACCTTCTTGGTTTTCCTCTGACTCCACCTAAGGTCCCTGATACCTGAGAGGTTAGGGTTAAGTGTGGCAGGCAGCACCATGAGGAGGAGTGGAACCCTGGCCCAACCTCCAGAGCAAGACCAGCAGTCCTGACCTCCGACTCCCACTAGGGTCTGTTCGCAGCCAGGACTCCTGCATGCGCATACTCAGAGCTGTGAGCCTTGGAGTCAGAATGCCGAGTGTTACTTGTATCAGGCCTCACTGCAGACATCAGTGCATGTTGTCACAGAATCTGCTATTCCTGTCCCCAGTTCACCAGTGATAAAACCATCTGCCTGCACGCCCAGAGGTGGCACCCCTGGGCTGGGCTGCATCTGATCTTGGGCTATTACTGTGTCCTTCCTAGCTGACCTGTGCCCTCTTCTCTCCTACCTTAGGTGCCCCCGGGCCTCCAGGACCAAGAGGACTCAAAGGAGACTCAGGCGTAAAAGGGCCTGTTGGCAGCAGAGGACCCAAAGGAGACCCTGGCAGCTTGGGGCCCCCTGGGCCTCAGGGTCCTCAAGGGCAACTTGGGGAGCCTGGACCAGTGGGCGAAAGGGGACCGACTGGCCCACGAGGTTTCCCAGGCCTCAAAGGCTCAAAGGGCAGTTTTGGCACTGGAGGGCCGAGAGGACAGCCAGGCCCCAAAGGAGATGTGGGGCCCCCAGGCCCTCAGGGGCCACCCGGGTCTCCAGGACCCTCAGGGCCTCAGGGAAAACCAGGGATTGCAGGGAAGACAGGGTCACCGGGCCAGCGGGGGGCCATGGGGCCTAAGGGTGAACCGGGGATCCAGGGTCCCCCTGGCCTGCCTGGGCCACCAGGCCCACCAGGAAGCTAGAGCCCCTACTGAGAAGGGTCTCAGGCCCAGATACTGCTGCACAGAAAGGGGATGGGGCTTAGGAAAGCTCAAAAGCTTCACCTACTGACAATCAAAGTCCTTTGGTTCAAATGTAGAGGGTTCCTTAGAGCAGAGATCCCCAAAGATGACTGTACCACAGGAAAGCACATACACACACACACACACACACACCATTCACACTTCCCTGCTGGCCAGGGGGACAGGAGGAGAGGGTAGAAGACCACCCCCCTCCTATGACTGAGCCAGCCAGGGCGGTGGCCACCTCTGGACGGTGGCCAGCTCCTGTCTTTGCAGTGCCTTCACACCCTTGCTGGCTGGCAGTTTCCAAAGGCTTCCTTCGGTTGAGAAGACCCAGAAAGGGCTGGGGGTGTAGCTCAGAGGTAGAGCACTTGCCTAGCATATGGGACACCCTTGTGGGACATAGAGATAGAATACAAAAGGAAGAATACAAAAGGAATACCATCCCTAGGACCCCTAAAGGAAAAAAGAAAACACCGAGGGAAAGCTTTGCAGGGCATTGTAGTTGAAATTCCAGGGACAAGGTGGGCGTGGTAACAATAAGCCCTCCTTTTCAGCCTAGAAACCGAGCTCCCCCTGCCTCAGACAGGCTGACAAATTCATCATTTTCTTTCAAAGCATTCCTTACTTAAATCTTGCCTCTGCATCTCAGGAGCATCCCACAGGGATCCAAGCAAGAATTGTGTCTGCAGGGGAAGATGCTGCAGGCCCTGGAGCATTCTGCCTAAGTGCCGCCCAGTACCCAAAAAGCCTGCACAGGTGGCAGCAGGAGGCGGAGGTGGGCATGAAAGCTGCTCCTGAAGCTGGCATCCTTTGTTCCAGCGAAGGTGCTGTTTGGTGACCAAGGAGGACCAGAGTGTTGCAAGGACCATCCCAAAAAACAGAGGGCCTCTGCATCCAGTGTTCTGCCCGTAAAGCCATTCAGTGACCTGGCCTCACTGCAACCCAAAATGCCCCTCTGCACATGAGCAGCAAGCTGGGTAGGGATGGGGAGAGCCTGGACATCCACAGGAGGCTCCTTTGGGGGTTACTTCCGGTTTCCCATCAACCTCTGGTGCACACTGGCAGAAGAGGATGCTGGGAAGTTACCCAGCAGGAAGAGCATTTTCCTGGTGTGATCTCGCTGGAAAGCTGTCCCCCTTTATGTTCAAGCAGATTCAGACACTGCACTGTAGAGCATGGAGCAGCCTTTCCCCCAACACTGCCTGAAGGACCTGCACTCTTCGTGGCCAAGCCTTGCTGCCATCTTTCTGGTTGCCATAGATGTGCAACTGGTTTGCACTCCAGGCCCACCCCCTCCGCCATGTAATTCTCCTGTTGTCTACATATGATAATATCATGCCACAATATTACTGACCCAATAAAGAGCTGTTTCCAGGAAGGAGATATCTTCCAGTGCTTTCTGCCCGAGCTGGGGTGGGATGACTTGGGGTCTTCTGGTCAACCTTCGAGGGGGAACCTGTCGGGGATAAGTGTCCTACTGTGGAATCTGGATCTAAGCCCTTGGCCCCTCACTCTAGAGACACTATGCTGTGCCTAGAGGGCTCAGTGGTTTGCAGAGGAGCCAGGAACTGAACACTCTGGAGGGAATTACCCTAGAAGGAACCGTATGACTCTTGCAGTTCTTTGGTCAAACAAGAGTGAAAATTAGGACAGGTGTGGACCCTGCAGGGATACCTTTTGCTTCACCCTTTGTCTATAAGACACAGAGATAGAACAGGAAAGGAAGAAGCAACCAGGCCAGACACGGCCTGCTGCAGGCCTGGAGCACTGGTTTGTTTTTTGGTTTGGGGGTGGGGGTAGGGTGTTTTGTAGAGGAAGCAGTGAGGAGAAAGCACAAGGGTGGGGCCACCACCTACGGGCCTTGCCAAGTCCTTGATGTATGTGTTCCCTGAGGTCCTTGGCTTTGAGATGGGTGCTGTGGAGGTCACAGGGTGAGTGAGGCCAAAAGGCCATACTGGACACCTCTCCTAGAGGAGAGAAACAATGCAATAAAAGCCACCTGCCTGCCTAGGGCCATCTGCAGGACAGGCCAGGGCAGGGGGAGGGGGACATTGACAGATACAAATCTGGAAAGTGACGCTCAGGTGGTGGCACAAGGATGACAGGCAGAACCGGCTGGCAGAGGCAGCTCCCAGTCTGATGCTCACACAGCCAGTAGTTCTGGCTGTCGCATTTGGGTGGGTGGGAAGCTGGGCCAGGCCCACAGGAGCTGGCAAAGCCTGAGCATGAGGACCAGCCAGGGTCCTGGGTCCAGAAAAGCCAAATCTAAAAGAACACCAAGGGGGAAGTTTGGGTCTACCAGGAGAGACAAGGCCATAGTGATCGAAGGCAAAGGATTTGAGAACATCAGAGCAAAGACATAAGAAAAACTCCCAGAGCCTGGACAACTGCCACAAACTAGTTCCTGGCCCTGTGGTTTGAAGGGTTCACTTGATTTAAGGGCATAAGTGAAGGCAGGCACCATTCCGCTCACCCATGCAGTCACCAGGGACCCCTGAAGCCTCATCTAGGAAATAAGCAAGGGGGTTTGCAGTAAGAGTACAGCGGGAAAACTCAAGGCTGGCAAATGTGAAGTCCATCCAGGAAGCTGTCAGCATTCAGCATGGCTCTCCTCCCTCCTCGGAACTGACTGGTCCCTCGCCTCTCCATCTCTTGGTGCCTCCTGATCTCTCCTCTCTGCACCTGTGTCCTTTCCCTTGGCCAGCACCTTTTGTTTGCACAAGGCCCACAGGCAGCTACTCACCCCAGGGGACCTGGATCTTCAGCTGTTCCTTTCCACTTCCTCAGTGAGACATCCCATTGCAAGCCCCTTGAGTCAGCTGGTCTACCTGTGCACAGAGATAGAAGGAGAAAGTAGGGACTCATGGTGAATGACAGGCACAAAAATGACTAAGGGCAAGCTGGCCATGCAGTCTGCTGGGCACTGTAGAGACGAGATGGTAACAATGCCCATAGCAGCCGTCCAGCTGCAATCCAGCTGAGGGCCACTCTAAGCACCTCTCACACAGAGCTCTTTCAGCATTCACTATAATTGTAGTGTATTACTATTATTATTCTCCCCTTATAGCTGGGGAAATTGTGTTTGGGAGGGATTTGATGACCTCCCAAGGTCACAGAGATGCTAAGTTTTTAGATTTCCCCATGTTGAGGCTCAGCCTGGGGCAAGCTGCTTACCCACACTGTGTTCCCCCTTCCTCCAGGAAAGCTGAGCAGATGTTCTGCCCAGTGGCCCAGGGTCTCGGGCAGCTTGGCTGCCGTCACAAAACATCACAGACTGCACCCTTGAAGCGAATGTTATTTTCTACAGTGCTAGGGGCTGGGGAGTCCAGAGTCAAGGTGCCAGCTTGTAAATAGCTGTCACCTTCCTCTGTCCTCACAAGATGACAAGACTCTTCTTGGAAGGTCACAGTCCCAACAGATTAAGGCTCACTCTGTGACCTCACTTAACTGTCACTGCCTACTAAAGACCTAGCTCCAAAAGCTCTTGTCTCCAGCCAGGGATCAGGGTTGAGGCTTTGGTATGTGAATCCTCTGGGCTCACAGCGTTGCATGAACGTCAGCCATGGCTGCCATGGTGCTCAATTCCAGGCTCTCAGTGGCCCTGCCACTGTTGTCAGCACAGGAGAACACAAGCCCTGTACACCCCAGTTCCCAGGGGAAAGCCCCGAGAGATCAGGCACAGGTCAGGCTCCACCCTCTCCTCTCTTAGGTGGAGGGATTGGTGTGCCCCTAAATGGGAACCCAGGACTCAGTCAGGACCATCAAATGCCCAACCCTCACCCCTCTCTGCCCCATGCCACATGGCTCCTGTAGAGTATCCAGACATTTCTAGGTTCTGCTGAGATACAGAGAGCTGACCACGGGGCTTAGGGAGTGGGTGGCCAGGGCCATGAGGCCAAGCAGACACCGTGAGTCGATCCATTCATAACATCTGATGAGAGACATACACCCTTCTGGGAGTCAGGGACAGGGCAGGCTCCGTGACGTGGTCCCAGTAGATGTGGACCTGGGACACATCTTGCTTCTGCCCTTTAGCCCTGTGGAAGCACACACTTAGCACCGCCCTCACAGACCTTCAGAAAAGGTCTTTGGAGCTACTTTGGAGGCTGAGACAGGAGAATCACATGTTCCAGACTTATGTGATCCTGTTTCAGATTCAAAAGTGCTGAGTGTGGTGGCTCAGGCCTGTAATCCTATCGCTACAGGAGGCTGAGGTAGGAAGGTTATAGATTCTGGCACCTCCTGGGCAACTTATTGACTTAACCAGACCCTGTCTCAAAATAAAAAAGAACTAAAACGTATTGGGCTGGGAATGAAACTCAGTGACAGAGTACTGGCCTAGCAGGGCTCAATCCCCAGTGGAACAAAAAATGAGGAAGAAGAAGAGAAAGAGGAAGAAGAGGAGGTGGGTGTGGAAGAGCAGGAGGAGAAAAAAAAGTGAAGAGAATAAAAGAGGAAAGGAAGGGAAGCGGAGGGAATGGAGGGGAGGGGAGGGGAGAGGAGAGGAGGGGAGAGGAGAGGAGGGGAGAGGGGGAGGGGAGGGGAGGGGAGGGGAGGGGAGAGGAGAGGAGAGGAGAGGAGAGGAGAGGAGAGGAGAGGAGAGGAGAGGAGAGGAGAGGAGAGGAGAGGAGAGGAGAGGAGAGGAGGAGAGGAAAGGAGAACAGAGGGAGTGGGCAAGTGAGGACTCCACGGCACTTGGCACTCTGCAATCCTCCGTCCAGTGACTCTAATCAAGCATCCTTCCTGCTCACTCACTTGCTTTCCTGGAACTTCCCAGCACTGAAGTAATAAAGTCTGAACGCAAACTAAGAGGTGACACCTAGTAGAATTTCAGCTACTGGGTTAGAACACAGATGTGACCAAGTGAGGTCATTTGCGTCTCCGCAGCATTCCCGAAGCAGTGAGAGCATTCCTGGGTCTCCTGAGAGAGCGAGAGGCTTCCTAGGAGCCACAGGCCTGCGCCATGGCCTCCGGGGAGCTCTAAGCCCCAGCACTGCCCACTCCTTTCAGCAGTTTTACCGCCTCTGCCGCAGTCCTTCTGCCCTTTCTCCAGCTCCCCTGCCCAGACCAGGGCTGAGCTGGCAACTTCTGCTACAGAAGGCCTACACGCACCTGTCAAAATAGCCACAGGAGAGGAGCAGGGAGCTGAGAAACACTTTCTGACCACACTGAACTTTCCAGCAGGGCGGCCTGGGCTGGGCTGGGCTAGCCATTCCCGTAAACCTCACCCAGCTAGCTGAGTGGCCTTCCTGGGGACTGCTTGACCTGCAGAAGCACTGGGCACGGCTTTGCTTGCCTTCGCCTGCCCAGTCCTTTGGTTTTCTGTGCGCCTAATGTGGTAGGAGGCGTTGAGAGACCCGAGCAGTGCTTTCAGCAGGGAATGTTTGCTGAGGCAACGACCCGGGAGCCCGTGAGGGTGAAGATTGTGCACCTCCACCCTGGACCCACTGATTCCGAATTGCAGAGATGGGGCAGGGTGGAAGGAATAACACTTTATCCCAGGGAATTCTGATGCCCCAGAACTGTGGGAGATAAAAAAAGGAACATTCTGTCTTTTGAGTTATATATATTATCTCATTTATTAACCTCACAAGAACACTTTTAGACCAGAGAATCACAGCTCAAAAATGCTAGGAGTATGCGTTGGGTGTCCAAGATTCATAGAAGGTGGCTACGCTGAGCTACTTCTGATAGAACAGTGGGGTTAGATATCAATGTGGCCTGTGTTTGCACCTGGAAAAACCCCCAGAAGGGACTTGACCAAGGCCCAAGAGCAAGTGGTTATAGAGCTGTGACAAGGCCCAAGGGCTGCCAAGGCCCCTGGTTCCAACTGTCTATTGCTAAACACTGAGAGAAGAGCAGAGCTGGAAGGGGACTGGTGAGTGTCTCTCCCCATGAGAGCCAAAGGCTTCTCCAGGGAAGTCAGGTGCCCACCTCGGCCAGGCCAGCGCCCTCCTTGTAACCTTCTCTCCTGCCTAAGGACCCCACTACGGGGGCACAGTTAACAACCTCTGGGTGAGGAGCACATGTGAAATATGAGGACTTCTTGTGTTTCTGTGCTGTGTCACACTTGTTTCCACATCACAGATCTCCCATAAATCAGCCAAAAAGTCTGGGAGGACCAAAAAGAGTGTGACTGAAAGGGAAGAGCTATTTAAACAAATAAGTAAGTTTGCATGATTTGATTTGGTGTGACTGATTGATTTAGTGCTTCTGAAACAAGGTCTCATTATGTAATCCAGGCTGGTCTTAAACTTATACTGATCCTCCTGCCTCAGCTTCCCAAGTGCTGGGATTACAGACATGCACCACCCATGGCTGGTAGCATGATTTAGAAGGATGACAAAAATAAGAGTTGTTTGTCTGCCTATCTGTCTG